TAAAATATATTCACTGGTAACATTTATGGCACTTGTGATTTGTGCACCAATAAGAAAATAGAATGTGTAAGCATAACATATTACAAAAATTAAAATAAAGGCAGCCTCAAAGGTTGTTTGGTCGCTTGGGCGCGACCGGTCGCCCGCTAAAATATATTCACTGGTAACATTAATGGCACTTGTGAATTGTGCAACAATAAGGAAAATAGAATGTGTAAGCATAACATATTACAAAAATTAAAATAAAAGCAGCCTCAAAGGTTGCTTGGTCGCTCGGGCGCGACCGGTCGCCCGCTAAAATATATTCACTGGTAACATTTATGGCACTTGTGAATTGTACACCAATAAGAAAATAGAATGTGTAAGCAGTTATGCCTATTACATATTACAAAAAATTAAAATAAAAGCAGCCTCAAAAAGGTTGCTTGGTCGCTCGGTCGCGACCGGGCGACCGGCCGCGAGCGGGCGACGACCTTCCAGTAGAATTGCACAAATCAGCACATGATAATATGGCTCAGGCACAAAAATAGACTTTAGCCTAAAAAGGGTCGCCAGGTCGCTCGGTCGCCCGGTCGCGACCGGTCGCCCGCTGAAATATATTCACTGGTAACATTTATGGCACTTGTGAATTGTGCACCAATAAGAAAATAGAATGTGTAAGCATAACATACTACAAAAAAAATTAAAATAAAAGCAGCCTCAAAAAGGTTGCTTGGCCGCTCGGGCGCGACCGGGCGACCGGCCGCGACCGGGCGACGACCTTCTAGTAGAATTGCACAAATCAGCACATGATAATATGGCTCAGGCACAAAAATAGACTTTGGCCTAAAAAAGGGTCGCCAGGTCGCCCGGTCGCCCGGTCGCGACCGGTCGCCAAGTCGCGAGGTCGCGACCGGTCGCCAGGCCGCGCGACCGCCTGCCATACCTTATAAGACAGCACAGAAACTAAACCAGAAAGGATATAAGTGTAAATCGAGTTAGAATACCCAAATCCAAAATGAACGCATGACATGTCTTCAATACAAGAATATAAAGATAAGCTGGCTTAACTAAGTCCCACCAGCGCTGCCGAGGACACTCTGGTCGTTTCCGCTATTGTGGTGTTTCACCTTAAGCCAAATATGTCTGATGAGAGCCACCAAGGATTCGAGCGCTTTCATCACTTTTTTGGAGAGCAAATCAGTGACCACAAGTGCATCAGCGGCCGGTGAGAGGGGTGATGCGCCACATCTGATGACATGCAGGGCTCGCTCAGCCGCAAATATGGGACAATCGTGCAGCAAGTGGGTTTTTTTTTTTTTTTTTTTTTTGTGTGTCTGCAACTCCGCTCCTCTGACACAGGTCAGAGACATTGTTTACTGACATGGCATTTTTTCTATTTTCTTTTGTTTTGTTGCCTTTCTTTATATATTTGGGGGGGAATTAGGGTTCCATTTATTTAATTTAACTCTTACACATCTTTTTCTTATTTCTAGTTACAATCTGTTTATGCTACTTTTATCTAATTTAAATAAATCCTTATATTATGACGACCTACTTTATATAGTCAAATATAAATTGGTCACGCCTGATTCATCACTTATACTTTTTCTATCTTATTTATTTCTGTTACAGCTTATTCTATTACAGTTCTCTTATAACTCTATTACACTATTTATTCCTTATTTTCTCTACCTGTACTTATGCCTATGGATAACTTTGTTTACATTATCAAATACAAAACAGTTCATCCTTATCTTCTATTTGTTTTTATTTGCTACTCTTATTATTACTTGTCTGCAAAATTTGAACAACTTCTCCCGACCACATTTGTCTTTAATAATTTCGCCAATTGTACTTTCAGTGATCTCTACCCCTAGCTCACTCTCCGCATCAAATCTTTGTCTGCCGTACACCGGGCATTCCGTTACAATATGCATTACGGTCTCTTCCACTTCGTCATTACAGATGCACGACGGACTCTCCTTACACTTGAACCTATACAAGTATGAGGAGAACCCGCCGTGCCCTGTCATTAATTGCACCAGTGTCGGGTCTAGCCGCATCTTTCCCACTACTTTGTGCGCTGCGACCGCGTCGGGAAAGAAAACTTTTGTTACGGACGCAGATGTCCCACCGACATAGCGCCCATTCCACTCGTCAAGCGCTTCCTGTCGGATTTGTCGCTTGACGAATGAAACGGGACACCTGTCATAGTCCACCTTTGTCTTCTTGTATAGCGCTGCGTCCCTCGCTAGTCCGTCTGCCCTCTCGTTTCCCTCCAACCCCGCATGAGCCTTTATCCAGAACAGGTTTAAAGAGCCATTGGATTCCTCAATTTTGGATATGTTGGCCCGTGTCTGGACTGCGAGGGTGTGGAGGGATGTTCCGTCGGCGACGGATTCTAGCGCGGAACGCGAGTCGCTGTATATATTGCAGTCTTTGTACCTTTTCTTCCTTGCGTATCCCGTCGCGGCCGCGAGAGCGTACAGCTCTGCCTGGTAGACGGTGCAGCATTGGTCCAATTTCAGTTTTTTACGGTCAATTTCCGCTGCGTTATCCCAAATGGATAACGCAGCCCCCACCTTCCCGTTGATCTTACTACCGTCGGTGTAGATTTTGTGACTGAAGTTGTCACACCTTCCCAATGCTGCCTCGTCCTCCAGACATCCGAATCGTACTCGTTTCTGCTGTGCGGGATGGGGCAGATCTGCGTATGGAGCAGGCGTCTCCACCTCCCGATCTCCTACTACTCTCCGGGTGTGTCCTTTCCTAACCTCATATAGTAAGGCTGCTTCCCGGATTCTGATATCCAAAGGAAGCAGCCCGGCGAGCAGTAGCGCCGAGTGTAGCGACACCGTCCTGTATGCCTTAATCATCTTCTGGGCGAAACCCCTCTGTACCGTGTCTAACTGGTTGCGAACTTTCAGTTTTCTCGAGGCGGGCGCCCAAGCGCTTGCCGCGTGCAAAATCGTCGGCTCCACTACGGCGACGTATATTGTCCTGACCACCTCGGGGTTCAGCCCCCAGCTGATCTTTGCAGCTCGTGCTAGCTGCTTGTATAAATTTAGGGCCTTCCGGCAGACGTTCGCTACGTGGGTGTTGAACGTAAGCTTGTCGTCCACCGTTAGGCCCAAGATCTTTATTTCACGGGACATTCCAACATTCACCCCTCCCATGGCCAGGTGTGGAGAGTCGTATTTTAGTTTGTTAGTCAACGTCATTGCCTGCGTCTTATGTGACGCGAATTTTAATTTGTTTACGACTCCCCACTCCTGGACACGCGCAAGGGTGTCATTGGCCTGTCCCTGAATTTCCGTTGCGCTGCTCCCCGAGAAGATCAGGACAACATCGTCTGCAAACGCCTGGCAGTAAACCCCCGCCTCATCTAGTTGCTTCAACAACGGGTCGAGAAGGAGGTTCCAAAAGGTGGGACCCCCTATGGAGCCCTGTACGCAACCCTTCGTCGTCTCCCTAGTGCTTTCAGCGCCAGCGTAGCGCACCCTAACTCTCCTATCTAAAAGGTAGCTGTCTACCAGGCGCCTGAGATTTGCAGGGCACTCCGTCTCCGCAAGCCTGCAACGTATTGCCGGCCACCACGCGCCGTCGAAGGCCCCCTCTATGTCTAATGATACTAGAGTTGTTATCTTTTTAGCTTTAAGCTGCTCTTTGATGTATTTTACCATGACATAGAGGGAGTCCTCGGTACTGCGCTGCGGTACGAATCCGTACTGCCTGCTGCTCATTTTGGGAAGTATGTGCCACCGGATCCTCTTTACCAGCATCTTTTCCAGGGTTTTTCCGAGGACCGGCAGCAACCCTATTGGCCTATAGGACTTAGGCTGGTGGTAATTGTCCTTATTAGGCTTTGGTAGAACAACAACTGTGGCCTCCTTCCAGGCCGATGGAAAATATGCCAAGCTGAGGCATCTGTTGTATACCGCCAGGAATATATCAGGGCCGGCTTTAATGGCCGCACCGCATATGTCTGCTGTGAAACCTTCCTTCCCGGGTGCCTTCTTAGGATTGAAGCTTCGAATTGAGGCTTCTAATTCGTCAGCTGTGAAGGGTGGATCACATGTCTCACCATGTCTCCATCTGTTGATCTTCTCTGCAGCTACCCGGGTGTTGTGGTGAACCTCTTGGTCACTTGACTCTTCATCCTGGGGGTAAAAGGTTTCCGCTAGCCATCTAGCGGATTCCTCCCCCTCCAGGACTCTGCCATTCCTCACCAGTGGCTGGTCCTCTTGCCTCTGTGCGGTTCGGCTGATCACCCTGTGAATGCCCTCCCACATGGTTTCGCGGTCTTGTTTGCTGCAAAAACTCCTCCAACTCATTGTTTGAGCTTCTTGGGCTTCCTGCTGATACTTGGCTTTGGCCTGCAGATACTCATCCACGACCCGTTTCTTTCTAACTGGAGCCGCGCACCTTATTCGCCGCTTCTTGGTCGCTACTTCCGCTCTTCGTTCGTCCAGCTCCTTACTCCACCAAGGCAATCCTGTTTGTTTCTTGTTTTTAATTTTTGTGGCTACCTGTTCTAAAACTTCTGTTATGCTATTCTCTATTGTCCTTACTAATTCTTCTAATTCCTCCTTGTTTTTTATCATTTCTATTTTTGCTGCAGCAAGTGGTTGGGAGTCTGTGAGACGACGCTGTCACAAGGACACTCGTCCGATGGTATGATGTGGAACCTGTGTAGGTAAGAGCGATGAAGGCCGTGTCCTGTGAGGTACTGAGTGAGATGGAAGCTCATAGGGATGGCCAGGCGGAACCGTCTGATGTCCGAAAGAGTGGGAAAAATTGATCGGGTATGCGATCCCTGCAACGCCGCATGGTACTCCCTCTCCCAGCGCACCGCACCGTCCGCACGGGATCGGCCCTTCACGAAGGAGGTTTTTTTTTTTTTATTTTTTTTTTTTAGGTTAGGTTAGGTTAGGTTAGGTTAGGTTAGGTTCCCCCCCGATTGTGCTGCCACCTTGTCGTGGTGGGGGGGCTTGCGTGCCCTTATGATCCCCAAGGCTATGCCGGATAGCGATACGCATACCGGACAGGCTTGTGGGGGAGGGGCCAGACTAAGAGCGGTACACTGCGGAGGGTCCACTCCCGGTACCACTCTGATCAGCAGAGCAGACTGGGACGTGGACGTGCGCCGTCAGAGTGCGGGCAGAGGGGCTCATCAGAGCGTTTGCGCGGCGGGCTCCGGCGGCTGTGATGTCACGGCTGTCGGGACAGGCTTAAGCCACCGTCGGGCGACCTGTTATCCCGACAGAGTCAACCGACCGACTGGGACCAGGGGGCTTGCCTTAATTGGCCGGCCCGAGTGGAGTCAACCACAATAAAAAACGCCCAAAGGTGACGTCGTTGGGGCGCCCCATAAAGGGACCTCGCGCGACGACGTCACGCCTACTTCGGTGGGTTGGTAGGCGGGGCATATCACCTACCCATTAGCGGCCTTCCCTGGGAGACCACCCGACCTCCCAGGACGTATCAGGGTTACCCAGGTACAGGGGGCACTGCCTGGGTTGACCGAATACTTCCCCCATACTCGTGGGAACCAAATGGATACATTTAATCTCGTTTCTTTTTTTAATACCCAGGAGGGTACCGGCACTGCCGAGAAATCCCTTTCCGTGTCTACCGACGCGGGCTGCCCCAACTCATCTAGGGAGGGCACAACTGATCCCGAGGGCCTCGGCCCTCACCCGACGACCATAGGCAATCGAACTAAGGACATCGATCTTGAAGAGACGGAGAGCAGTTGCTCTGAGGAGCTACCGGAGAAGCTGCCCCAGGGGGGTGCGGCTCCTATAGGAAGAGAGAAGGCAGGTGCGTGCCAGCCGCGAGACAAACTGGGCCGCTTTGTGCGACAAACGAAGGCGGTTAGCAAGCGGACTGACCTGGAGATGGAGCAGGACAACATCGACGATGTGGATCCCGTCGCGAAAGTCTCGCAGACTAATTTCGAGAGGGTCTCGGCCCGCTCTAAACGGCATCTTGTGTGTGAGGAGACGGAGCCTGTTACGGCCCCTAAAATTAGCACCGCCCGAAGAGGCCGAGTCACTGGTCCATCGGGCGCCTCGACGACAAGGACGCCCGGTCCCACCACGCTCTCGTTCCCGAAACCTGCGGACGAAGAAACTCGCCGCCTCAGAGCGGACAACAAGAGGATGGCGGGAGAGCTGGCTGCCCTAAAAGCTGAGGTGGCTGCTCTCCGCAGGGCCTTTTCAGAGAGGCCAAAAGCCCCCTCTCGAGGGATTCCATCCTCCGCCGACCAACCGGCGGGGTTGACGGAACTTATGGAAGAGCTCAAAAGGAGCCTCCTCGTCTCCCTGGGCGAAATTATCAACATTCGCTTAGGAGAGATCGAGAGGCGCCTCCCTCCGGAGCCGATCCTGAGACCACCTCTGGCGGCTGACAAGAAGAGGGCTGAGGCCAGTCGCCAAGCACCGGGTCCGAGCGCTGAGGCATCTCCTGCTTTTCGCCCGCCGGCCCAGTCGATCACGGCAGCCAAACCTGCAGCCAAACGGCGGCAACGCAAGCGGCAAGCGACCGCCGCGCACACCGAGGCCCAGAGTCGGGAGACGGCGCAAGCCGCGTCCGTCTCACTTCGGTCCACTGAGTGGACCGATGTCGTACGGCGCAAACCTTCCAAGCGGAAACGACCCGCTCAGCCCGCTGCGACTGATCCTGTCACGCCCCGCGTCAGGACCACAGCGCCAAAGGTCAAAAAGATGACTACCCCGAAGTCGACAGCGGTGGTCATTACTTTGACACCGGAGGCAGCAGAGCGCAATGTGTCTTACAAGGACGCCTTGAAGAGGGCAACGGCTGGACTGCAGCTTAGCACGGTCGGCCTAAATTCTGTGCGGGTGCGTAACACGGCCACAGGGGCACGTATTATTGAGGTGCCGGGCTCCGATAGCGGCACCAATGCGGATGCTCTCGCAGAGAAACTGCGAGAAATAATTGGCGATGTGGCCGTAATTTCCAGGCCGACCCCCAAAGCCGACATCATAGTCTCGGGTCTGGACGAGTCGGTGGGGCCGGAGGACGTGCAGAGGGCGGTGGCGGCAAAAAGCGGATGCACCTTACAGCTGGTGAGGGTGGGTGGCATCCGCACCAGGCCGGACGGAACGGGGTCTACCCTGGTTCAATGCCCGGTTGTGGCCGCCAAAACCCTGGTCGAGGCGGGACGACTTCTGGTCGGGTGGTCGTCAGCCCACGTTAGGGCACAGGACCCTCTCCCCATGAGGTGCTTCCGGTGCATGGGTACCGGCCACACAAGGGCCCTGTGCCCGTCACAGGTGGATCGGAGCACCCTGTGTTTTCGATGCGGGACTGAGGGTCACAGATCGGCGACCTGCACGGCAGAGCCTCGTTGTGCCGTGTGCACCCACGCGCGACGGCCGGCGGGGCACGTGATGGGAGGAAGGGCATGCATCCCTCCGCCCACGAGAGGCAAACCGGCCATCCAGGTCCGGACCGCGAATGAGGGCCAGATGGAAACGTGATGTCTGCACACCACTTCCAGTTACTCCAGGCGAATATAAACCACTCCGCCCGAGCTCAGGATCTGCTTATGCAGTCAATGGCGGAGTGGTCCATCGACGCAGTGGTGGTGACTGAGCCTTACCTCGTCCCTCCCCAACCTAATTGGGTTGGGGACACGCAGGATGTGGTGGCAGTGGTGGTGCCGACAACAGGTGACCACCCTCAGCTCCTCCTGAAGGAACGTGGGCCGGGGTACGTGGCGGCTGTCTGGGGGGAGATTGTCCTGATAGGGACTTACTTCTCCCCGAACCGTACACTGCCAGAATTCACACGCTTCCTGGGAAGACTGGAGCAGGTGATCAGGAGGGCCGCCCCGGCTCAGGTTCTCGTGATGGGGGATCTAAACGCGAAAAGCGACGCGTGGGGATCCCCATACACCGACGTCAAGGGGGCAGAGCTAGCGGACTGGGTGGCGACCGTCGGACTGGAGGTCCTAAATCGGGGCCACGTCAACACGTGTGTGCGGCGACAGGGAGGGTCCATTGTGGACATCACATTTGCGACCCCTGCCATGGCCGAGCGCGTGTCAGACTGGCGGGTTCTAGAGGACACAGAGACCCTCTCCGATCACTTGTACATACGGATGAGGGTTTCTACCTCGCCACTCACGATCGTCTCCGGGACCAGCTCGCACAGAACAGGAAGGAGTCAGTTCCCACGGTGGTCCCTGTCCCGACTTAACCGGGAGATGGCGGAGGAAGCCGCGATTGTGCAGGCCTGGTGTGCGCCCCCACCGGTCACTTTTGGTATAGACCAAAAGGTTGATCGGTTCCGGGGTGCAATGACAGAGGTGTGCGATTCAGCCATGCCGAGGATCAGGCGCCTCTCCAACAGGAAGCAGGTCTATTGGTGGTCTGCGGAGATCGCAGCTCTCCGCGCCACCAGTAACCATGCCCGACGGGCGTACGGGAGGTGCCGAAGAAGGAGATCGCACACGGTGGCTGAGGAGGACCACTACTATCGCGCCCTCCAAGAGGCCAAGGCGGCACTCGCGGTGGAAATTGCCAGGGCCAAGGATTCCGCTCACCTAGAATCCTTGGCCACCCTGGACAGGGACCCGTGGGGGAGGCCGTACAGGGCCGTCCGAAATAAGATGCGCCGCGCTCCCTCCACAGCCTCTCTAGAGCCGGAGCTACTGACTCGGGTGGTGGACGGACTGTTCCCGGTACAGCCGGACTTCGTCCCGCCTCGGATGAGTCCTCCCGGCGAGGACGCGCAGCAGCCGGGAGAGGCTGATCCGGTGACCGACGAAGAGTGGGCGTGGGCAATCGGCCGCCTTAAATCATGCAGGAAAGCTCCGGGACCAGACGGAGTCCCGGGGAAGGCCCTGCATATCGCCCTCGAGCACCTCGGCGACCGCCTCAGACAGATCTTTAACGACTGTCTGGAGGCCGGCCGATTTCCAAGGCGCTGGAAAGAGGGGAGGCTGTGCCTGTTGCGGAAGGAGGGGCGCCCGCCGGAGTCTCCTTCCGCATACAGACCCATAGTCCTGCTCGACGAGGCCGGGAAGTTGTTCGAGCGCATCTTGGCCTCTAGAATCGGTGAACACCTCACCGGGAGGGGCCCAGACATTTCCCGGTGCCAGTTCGGATTCAGGACCGGACGGTCGACACTGGACGCCATCAAGGCTCTGAGGGTGTTCACCAATGAGGCGGC